CTGGTGGGCTCTTGATATTAAAGTGAGGCCATTAGTGTGGTTAAACTGTGAAGCTATGTCCTGCCCAAAAGTGTAGCCGGCGCCACGTGGTGATATGCCCCATCCACAACGATCATCCGGGTCGGACCACAATAGGTCACACATTGGCCCTTCATGTGGAACCTATCAGCCAACAAGATATACAAAAATGAAAATGATTCAATGAAACTATCAAACAGCAAAACAACTGTCATTTGTCAAATAGAACAAGGGAATACAGGTGAGAAATAAAGTTCATGCATGCTCAAGACCGGGAGAGGAATAAGTTAATACATAGAGGAGAATACAATAATTTAAATAAATAAAAGGCCAGTTAAGTCATATTTAACTCACAAAACAATATTTCATTTATACCTCCTGTATACGGTCCAGAGCTCGGATATTGTCTAAGGTATCAAGAGATGGTGAAAGGCCCCCATGCAAACAAAAGATCTGCACAAAAGCAATATAAAAGCATTAAATAGAATAAAGTTGCTATATCCAGAATGAGTAGTTATGCACATTTATCATCCACACCTGACTCTCAATGAGCGCTGTTAAGGGCAAATAATCAAATAGATCAGTGAAATACTTCCAAACATTAGCATTGCCATACTTCCTCAAGCATTCATCATAGAACCCATACCTGAAGAGGAAAGAACCCCATGATTAATCTTAAAATCAAAAAAATATAAAAAAAAAAAATAAAATCCACATATATTAGAAGCATGCAAATTCAGTAAATACGACTCAGACCTAAAAAAACATACATCTAGGAGCACCGCTGAGCTTTTCTACAGGTAATTGTGGTGCGTAACATGCACAACTTTACTTGGGGCAGATAACCAAAAACTCAGACATAAAAACACATGGTGCACTTTTTCAGTTATTTCCTATGCTAATCTTTTGAAAGGTCTGTTTCTCTCTTTTCATCATTTTCCTCTATTAATCATTTTCCTTTCTTTCATATGCACCCATTTACAAGATATCATGGCACACAGCATACACACAGAGGGAGACAAACAGAACATGCTACGAAACATACTACATTGTTTATGTTTAAAGCAAGAGCTAAGTTAATTTATTGCTGTCTTGATTTTAGTTTAACAATGCACTATAATTGATGACAGCCAGACACAGTTAACAAAACAAAAAACAGTTAACTGTGTGCCTCAGTTTATAAGACGCAGCCATGCCACAACAAAGGATCCACGGCCTTGTGCATTTAACAAAACCACACCACTCACACCAGACAACGCAGGGCAGAGATCTTACACTTGCGTAATTTGTCGACTTTCATGATTCCCCCGAAGTATTGTGATTCTATCTCTGTAGCGCACTTTCAGGGCCACTAAAAGTGTGACGGTCTCGACTGAGTAGTACCCACGGTCTGCATTACAAATACTTCATAAGTTTATTGTTAAGGTACTCCAGGGAAAGCTATGATATTATGATTATTGAAAATTTTACTGTCAATTGAAGCAATTAGTATAAGACAAAAAATAACATGAGTTGCTCTAACAAAGACAACACAGAACCGCAGAATAACAGCATGGTAAAAGCACAAAATTTAACAGCACAATCCACATTCTGACCTTTATTATGTACTCATAACGGAAACAAAAAAGCAATACCAATTGCTTATCTGTTGGCATTATTATATTAAGTTGCAGTAAAGTATCATATATGTAAGGTCTACCATTTGCATCATTCCCTGACAACTTCCACGAAACAACTAAGCATTTCCAACATCAACCAACGTCCAAAATAACATAGTAATTGATTCACACCAAATCCCACCCTAGCAATTCTGGGACACTTGATACACCTGACCAATGGCTTGGCCAACGATCCAAATTAGACATGTAAAAATCCCCAATTCTCGAATCTGTATCCAGCTAATCAGTATTGCAGGACGTATAATAACTTATCTCCAATACCTAGTGGGGAGACAAACTAAAAAGTTATGGAATTAAATTCCTTTTCACTTTGCTGAATCAAACTAAATATTCAACATTAAAAATTAGCTTCCTAGTTGGGTTGTACATCATTCTATAAATTGAAGAAAGAATGATGTATGATGTTCACTATATAACACTACTTTAATAAAACATATTGTATCTTATCTCTCAGTTCATATATCTTCGAACAAATTAAATATTGTTGTTATTACCTCCTTAAACTCCAAAAACAACCTCAGTCAAAAGAAATCCACGGTTTAATCCAAATCACATTAGATACCTTAGAAATACCAAGAATTACAGCCATACATATCCCATTAAATACAGATCAAACAACAGCTATATTCGATAAATCCCTCAAAACCTGCAGAGAAAAAAAAATAAAAAAAAAAAAAATTACCAACATAGTCTCCCATGAAGAGGTAATTAGTATCCGGCGCATTGCCTCCTATGCGAAAAAGCTCGATGAGATCATAGAACTGCCCATGGATATCACCGCACACAGTGACGGGGCATTTCACCGGCTGAACATTCCATTCCTCCACCAAAATTGCTCGCGCTAGATCGCAGAGAGCCTTCACCTCCGCCTCCGACAGCGGCTTGCACTCCATCAATTGCTCTATTTGCCGATCCAACTCCCCATGCCCCGGCATCTTCTCGACCAAACAAATAAAAATGACAAAAAATTCCGCCTTTCGGCTGTTAGGGTTCCCAGCGCCACGATCTGGAATTTGAATAGCGTGAAAACGACGACTGATTGGCGCCGATGATCACCAGAGATCTGGATTTGGACAAGTTTCGGTTGAAAAATAAAAGAAAAATTGGCGTAGATTTTCAATATTCATCAGTTTCGAAGACTGGTTTCCAGTTTTACGAAAAGCTAAATTGAAAGATTGATTGTATAAACATTTTTCAAGCATTTATGCGAGCATAAGTATAACCATGTTTGGATGAAGAAAAGGTAGATCTCATGTGGAACGAGAAATGTTAGATGAAACTCAGATGAGCCCGAAATGAAACAAAAATGTACATTTATAGCAAATTAGATTTTTTAAGACTTTTTAAAACTTTTAAAAGTAAAGAGTATTCAACTTAGATTAGGCAAAATTGCTTTTTTAGGTTCATTATATTGGTCAAATTTCTCTTTTAGTCCATTAATTTGAGATCACATCACATAATACCATTATGCATTGTTATCACTTTTGGTCCACTTTTCATTATAACTAGTTATCATCCTGTGCACATGCACAAATGTACATAAAATATTATAAGTAACATGTGTGAATTTAATATTAAAATTATAGATGATAAACATATCACATTTTCAAGATATGTGAATTTAATATTAAAATTATAGATGATAAACATATCACATTTTCAAGATATGTGAATTTAATATTAAAATTCTAAATAATAAACATATCACATTTCAAGATATGTTAATTTAATATTAAAATTCTAGATAATGGACATACCACATTTTCAAGAGTTAATCATTAGCCGACGGTCCTCCTGAGTAGCCATCGAGCTTCGCCGGCGGTCGCCGGCCCTTGGCCGCTTGTGTCTCTGCCCCTTCTTTTCCGCTTCGCCATCGGTTTCAATGATTTTGGGCCTCGTCTGCAGCGATCGGTTTTTGCTTTTTCAGGCGCCGACTAGTCGATTCAAGATGGTGGCTTCTCTTTTGGGTGGTGGCGGTGCCGTGGTGCTGTTCTTGGGGTGGGAGGCGTCGCAATTGCTCGGTAACCTGTTTGTTTCGGCGATTGGGGCGTTGTTGTTGTTTGAAGTCGCCTACCCAGGTTCTCAGTTGTTGAGTTGCTGGGGTCGATGTGTCTATCTCCCTGCCAGTGGTGTTGGAAGGAGAGGTGATGCACCGGTGTGGTGGCTTTGGGCAGCTTCCAAGCGGTACGGGGTTGGGGCTGCGGCTGTGACCCTCTTTTGTCCGTTTCGGGCATTCTGGTGTTGTGGCCGCGGGGTGGGGTGGCTTGGCGTAGCACCGGAGTTAGGGTCTCGACTCCGTTAGGCAACCGAGTGGTTTGGGCAGTTTGGGGGTCGGTTTTTCTGGCTGCGGGACTATTCGTCACCTTGTTTCCGTTGGTCCGGTTTGGTGCCGCTGCTTCGGGAGAGCTTGTTTAGTTCTGATTGCTTTTGTGTTGTTTGTTGGATAGCTTTGTTTTTTAGTTTGCTCTTTAGGTGGTGTAGTTGCTGTGTTTTTGGTCTGGGCCATTTGGCCTCTGTTCGCCTGGTGTCAAATTTATTATCCTGTTGGGATCCGACACTCATGTATTCTCCTGTTGGGAGCTTTTTAGTTTTTTTAGTTTGTAGTTCTTTGTGTTTGTCGTGTTTTTTTGGTTTCTAGCGTTGCTAGTATCGGGATTCTAGGCGGTCGTCAGATCTGTCCTCCCATTTTATTCTCCCGTTGGGAGCTTTGTACTTTTATTCGCACTTTGTGGGTTTTGATTTATAATAGTTCATTTGTCGTTTCGGGAAAAAAAAATAGTAAAAATAAAATAATATTTATATAAATTATTTGAGTACATATATATCACTATATTTATTAAAAAAAATTGTGGGTTAATGTAATTTTTATAATTTGGAGGGATCATGGTCAAATAATTTACTTGAAAACTTTATTATTATTATTATTATTATTATTATTATTATTATTATTATTATTATTATTGATGATACAAGAATTACATGGCGTTAGTCAGAGGACACGTGGCGATGGTTGATGTATGCTCCGACGTCTCCCTGGACTCGTCTCCTTTGCTCCAACGCCTGCAAAACAGAACCCCGGGGTTGTCCCCAGGGGTAGATCCTCCGATGCCTAAGTTAGAATAGGTTTTTTGGTTTTCTGGGGTGGTGGCTGCGGAATGAGTAGAAGAGAGAGTTTGGAGAGTTCAGAATGTCCCTTACCTTGACCTAGGTCGTCCTTTTATAGGAGTCAGATGACCTAGGTCTCCCTTCTGCAAGCGGAGGACTCCCTGGCCCATAAGCTTCGTGGGCTGACCTCAAACTTTGGCCCAAAGTAAAGCTCCTCTGGACCTTGGGCTTATAGTAATTCTCCTCAGGACATTGGGCCCAGAGTAAAGCTCTTTGGGACCTTGGGCCTGAATTGGGGTTGGGCTTCAGCCTCGACCTTGGGCACTGATGGTCCTTGGAGTACACGTGTCTTTATTCTCCCGAGTCACGTGTCTCCTAATAAATGTATATTTTTTCCCTTATCACTTGCCCCCCATTTTATGTACGCATTAATGTTTATGCGTACAGAAAATAAGCGATGAGACATTCACAGATTAATATCTGCATTTGGTGACTTTCCAGTACAGTTGTGTAGACAGACAGTCCAATTGCTTGTTATAAAATTCCTCACTCTCATTTCTCTTCTCACTTTTCACATTGTTACTTTCTAGAGAGAGAGAGATAGAGAGAGAGGGAGAGAATCAAGCTCTTGGGATTGCATCGATTTGTCAAGCTCGACGTCAGCATTCGAAAGTCCTCAGACCCTGGTAATTTTCTCTTACCATGTCCTTATTTCTTTAAGTCTTCGGTAGCTAGTTATTATTTATCGACGTCAGTAGCGTTGGCATTTTCCTTAAGCAACATCGATAGCAATAATTTGAACATACACTTCACTTCGGTAGGCCGAAGAGTTTCTTTGTAGACCTCGGTAGTCCAAAGACTAACTTTTTGAACACCTCGGTAGGCCGAGGAGCTTCTTTGTAGTCCGCGGTAGTCCGATGACTAATTTTTTGAACACCTCAGTAAGCCGAGGAGCTTCTTTGGAGACCTCGTCGTAGTCCTCGGTAGTCCGAGGACTAATTTTTTGGACCTCGGTAGGCCGAGGGTCTTCTTAGTAGTCCCCGGTAGTCCGAGGACTAATTTTTTAAACACCTCGGTAGGCCGAGGGTCTTCTTTGTAGTCCTCGGTAGTCCGAGGACTAATTTTTTAAACACCTCGATAGGCCGAGGGTCTTCTTCGTAGCCCCCGGTAGTCCGAGGACTAATTTTTTAAACACCTCGGTAGGCCGAGGGTCTTCTTCGTAGTCCCCGGTAGTCCGAGGACTAATTTTTTAAACGCCTCGGTAGGCCGAGGTTCTTCTTTGTAGTCCTCGGTAGTCCGAGGACTAATTTTTTCTAACACCTCATGATATTTTAGGACACCTTTGAGACCTTGGGAGCTTTTAAAAAAAAAAAAACCTTTTGAAGACCTTGGGACCTTGGACTTTGGATTTGGGAATAGCATATACTTGCGTTGGCAGCTCCTCCTGTCAAAGCTTT